GTGTGTGTGTGTGTGTGTGTGTGTGTGTGTGTGTATGGGGTGGGGAAGCACCTGGTGGGTGGGACTTCTAGATTGGTGCTTGCCCAATCCTCTTGGGAAAGTGATTTCAATAAATCCCTCCATGCCTATCCCTCCATCCTGTCCCCTCGGCCCCGTGTCCCTGCCGTCTTTCCTCACCCCGGAATAGGACCTGAGTAGGTGGGGCAGGTGTTTTGGCTCAGTTCACAGACAGCCATTTGGCCAGCTACCAAGGGAGAAGCACTCCAGGGGTTGGGGTGGCCCCCAGCCTCCCTGCGTGTCCATCCCCCTGTGGGAAGGACTCGTCACATTGGGGTACGGATCTATTCAGTGTCACTCAGGAGGTGCAGGGGACGGGGTGGGGCGGGGCGGGGCGGTGGTGGGGAGGCAGCAAGCGCACTGAACAGGGTGATGTTGTCCGTGGGGCTGACGTCAAAAGGACTGCCTATGGAAGCTTATGCCCCGCTGAGCAGAAATGGATCATTTTTCGTGAAAGGATCCCTGTGGTCAGTTTTACCCACAAGGGTGTTTTTGGTAAGCCCAGCAATATACAAGGAATGCGTCCAAAAGGATTGCTCTCAAATCACAGGAACCTTTAAAACAAACAGATAAAACTGCAAATCTCTTGTTTCTCCACAGGTGCTCCGTCTAGGTGGACACACTTCTGGTGGCAGTGTTGCCATCTGCCCGAGAGATGTCTACTCTCTCTGCTGATGCCCCTGGGAAATGGGCCCTGAACTTAGGGAGCACAAAGAAATCTGCCAAAGGTAAGCTCAGCGCCATGGCTGGGCGGGGTCAGACTTCCCAGTGGAATTCGCTGAGGATAGCCTATTCCCTGGACGAAAGAGAGGGCACATGGTGGGGCCAACTTTGGACGAGACTGCCCTGGCCTTTGTCTCACCGAGGCAGTTTGTAAGGTCCTTAAAACTTCCCTAATAAGCTCCTGTGGTGATGGTCCTTTGAGAAAAGCCATCCAAATGACCCCCTTGGCATCCCCAAATCCAGTGGCTGTGACTGCTCTTGAATGCCATCGGCCCAGCAGATCCCCTCGAAAGCCACTGCTTGACTAGGCTTGTTTTGGAAGGCACCCCCACAAAGACTCAGATGAGCGTGCTCGAGAGAGAGACATGTGGACGTGTTTTGTATGGAATTAACCTAGACACGTGTGAGCTGGGACCCACGTGGCAATGTGCTTGGACTTACTCTCCAACCTACGAGGGTCAAACTCTTGTGGGTTTACTTTGGAGTCTTGTGCCACACTCGGGTCGGTGCTGTCCATATCATTCGCTCACAGTGACACTGGCATCGGCTGCTACAAGCGCACCCCGCTGTTTTCATCGCTGCTGGTGTTTTCAGGGTCACTAAATAACTTGGTTAAGTTTTGAGGTGTCTGCGCTTCAAGATGGCGGTGATTATTGTTGGTAAATACCGAAGAGTGGGTTCCCACTCACAGTGCCCCAAAGTACAACAGCACAGAGCACCGTCCGACCCTGTCCCTTCTTCACAACGGTCCTTACGTTTCAACCCCCATCCTGCCCCCTCGTTATGGAATCCACTGTGTTATCTATCCCCTGGATGGTCTTCCTCCTTTCTCACTGTCCCGATACTGTACCACGCAGGCTGTCTGTCCTCCTCCAGGGACTGGTCTCTCCTGACAACATGTCCAATGTATGTGAGACCAAGTCTCACCATCCTGGCTTCTAAGGAGCATTCTGGTTGTGCTTCTACAACAGTGGTTCTCCACCTTCCTCACGCCTCCACCCTTTCACACAGCTCCTCATGTGGTGGTGACCCCCGACCAAAGAATGATTTTCATTGTTACTTCACAACTGTCATTTTGCTACTGTGCTGAATTGGGCGACCCCTGTGAAAGGGTCGTTCGGCACCCCAAAGGGGTCAAGACCCACAGGTTGAGAACTGCTGCTCTAAAACAAATTTCTTGGTTCTTTTGGCAGTTCACGATACTTTCAATATTCTTTTCCAGCACCATAATTCAAAGGCATCATTCGTCTTTGGTCTTCTTCAATGTCCAGCCTTCACATGCGTATGAGGCAGTTGAAAAGACCACGGCTGGGGTCAGTGGTACTTTAGTCCTCACAGTGACAGACATCCTTGCTTTTCAACACTGTAGAGAGGTCTTGCGCAGCGATTTACCCAGTGCAAGGTGTCTTTTGATCTCTCGACTGCTGTTTCCATGAGCATTGATTGTGGATCCAAGCAAAGACAAAATCCTCGGCAACTTCAATTTTTTTCTCATTATCGTGTTGTTGAAAGTGGTGTAGTGGTTACACATTGGGCTGCTAACCACAAGGTCATCAGTTCAAAACCACCAACTGCTCTCTGAAAGCAAGAAGAGGCTTTCTATGCCTGTAAAGAGTTACCATTTTCGAAACCCACAGGGGGATTTTTGTCTTGTGCTATAAGGTCTCTTATGAATCGAAGTCAACCCCCTGGCTGTGAGTTTGGTTTTTATCATGATGTTACCTATTGGTCCAGTTGTGAGGAGTTTAGTCTTGACATTGAGTTGTGAATCCATGGTGAAGGCTGCAGTCCTTGATCTTTATCAGCAAGTGTTCCCAGTCCTCCTGACTCTCAGTAAGCAAGGTTGTGTCCTCTGTTTATCACAGATTGTTGATAAGCCTTCCTGACGCTCCTCCCTTCATCACGTAATCCGGCTTCTCTGATTATTTGCTTGGGATACAGATCGAATAAGTATGGCAAGAGGAGACACACCCTTCTTGATTTTAAACTATGTAGTATTCTGTTTTTCTCTTCACACAACTGCCTCTTGATCCATGTAATTTCCGAATGAGTGCAATGAAGTTGTGTAAGTTACATAATTTCGTGTCAACTTGAAGATATCAAAGTGTAGGGTGGAATCTAGCCTGTCAATCAGGTCACAGTCTGATGGTACCTCCTTGGGGGCGTGACCTCATAAGGAGGGTCGTGGGAACCTGCCCACTCTCTCTGCCTTCACCTTCCTGTGGATGAGCTGTGCTGAGACCTTCGTGGGCCCTGTGATGTGGCCACCACCATTGGAGCCACAAGACTTTGCACCCACCAGCCTGTGACATTCCTGCATTCTGCATCATTAAGGTAGGTGTGTGAGTCTTAAGAGGGATTTATAGACTAGTATTGGACTTATGAACTAGTATCACACTTACGAATTTGATCTGAACTGGGTTGGGATGTTTGCTTGATATATAATTACTTACTGATATAAAGCTCTTTCTTACACATACATGGATGTCACTGAATTTGTTTCTGGAGTCAACCTGGCCTAAGAGAAATTCCAATTCTTCTCAAAGTTATCCATAATTTTTTAATGATCCATACAGTCTGTGGTGGTCACCTAATCTGGTATCAATTTGAGGATTAAGAGTGTAGGGGTGGAGTCTAGCCTGTCAATCTGGAGACCTCTGTGTGGGCCTGGCCTTCTCCTGAGACTTCTGGGAAATCCAGTATTCCTTTGTGGAGGCAGGAGACACTATCTCTCTCTGCCACACCCTGGGAGACATAGACATAGCAGCTGACAAGACACATGGACCCACCCTGATGATGCCAGCGCTGAGATATTTCCACTGCCACTGGATCCAAAGACTTCCTACCCACTGGCCAGTGACTTTCTACATTTGGCGTCATTGCATGTGTTTCGTGAGTCTGAAGAGGACTTTATACATTGGTATCGGACATATGGGCTAATATCAGACTTATGGACTTGATCTGGACTGGGTTGGGATGTTTTCTCAATGTTCAATCGCTCTCATATATAGATCTCTTTCTTATACACATATGTGTGTCCACGGATTTGTTTCTCTAGTCCACCCAGACTAACACAAATGCCTTGGCATAGTCAATAAAATACAAATAAACATCTCTCTGGCATTCTCTGCTTTCAGCCAAGGTCCATCAGAATCTGGACGGAACCTCTGGCAGCTCCCTGTCATTATACTGCTGCAACCGTTGTTTGATGATCTTCAGAAACATGTTAATTGTGTGCAATATCATTGATATCATTCTGTAGTTTGAGCATTCTGCTAGGTCACCTTTCTTTGGAATGAACACAAATGTGGATCTCTTCTAGTCAGTCAGCCAGGTAGCTGTCTTCCAGATTTCCTGGCACAGTGGGTGCTTCCAGTACTTCCTCAGCTTGTTGAAACATTTCAGTGGGCATTCCATCAATCCCAGGGGCCTTGTGTTTGGCTGATGGCTGCATTTCAGCTTGGACTTATTTCTTCAGCACCAGTGGTTCTTGGTCATCGGCTATGCTACCTCTTCTTCTGATGCTTTCTGCAGCACTCAACATCTTGCCCATCAAAAGCAAACAGATAAACTCACTGGCATCGCGTCAGTGCTGACCCACAGCAACCCTATAGGACAGGGAAGAACTGCCCTGCCAGCTTCTGAGACTTCTGAGACCGTATGGCTTTGGGAGCAGAAAACCTCATCTTTCTCCTGAATTTTGCCCATGGGATTTCAGTAATTAGAATGTGTGAATTTTACCCACAACTTTTTTTTTGGAGAATGAGGCAGTAATTAAAGCAACCGAAAAAAACTTAAATTTCTGATCAGTTACTAATAATGTTGTAATTGATTTCGTTGTAATTCAGAATAGAGTCTAGACAGTTAACAAAACAACTGTGCTGTCAGTATTTATATTGTCTAAGAAATAAATGTAACATTTAAATTATTTAATATAGTTGTATTTGTCACATTACTGTATGATTGAAATGGATGCTAACCCTTATGAAGGATTCTGTATGGTGGGGGATGGGGTGGGGGCAGGGTGACACCACGAGTTACCACACTGGGTCCACCAACCCTAGTGATGTCATTGCCTGCACCCCTGGTCACTGGCACCCTAGGGTTATCTTAGCTGCACCCTAACGTCTCTCACCTTCACCTGGGCAAGAATCTTGGACCCCTCTGTGGGCCCTAGGGTCTACGGCAGCGGTCCTCCCCTCCCCTCCCCAACTGCTCACCTGCGGCCAGTCTCGGCATCTCGGTAGTCCTCGATGGCCAGACGGAGCTTGCGACGGTGCAGGGAGCTGCAGACGCCCAGGCCCAGTTCCAGGTCTTCATCACTCAGGCTCAGCAGCACCTGCTCTCCGAGGAGGGGGGCACTGAGTGCCCCAAGCGGGGGGCAGGCAGGAGGAGGGGCTGCTGTTCTGGTCACCTAAGGCCTCCCAGGACCAGAAGGGTCTGCTGCCTGACCCCTCTCCCTGACCCCCTCTCCTGCATCAGGGCTTAGGGTATATCTGGCAAATGTCTGCCTCAGGAGGTAAGGCAGAATCACTGTTGGTGCCAAAAGAAAGCTCTAATCTAGTCCTGCTCCCTGGGGCTAGGCAGGGGATGGTTACGCCCATTGTGAAGATGGGAACAGTGAGGCTCCGGAGGGCGCAGTGAGCCCTGGAGTTGAATCTAGGTCGGTGGACTCCAAGACGACATCTTCTCTGGTCCCTGGGGTAGGGGGTGAGGCTGGTCGAGCTCTTGGAAAGGGTGCCCTACCTTCCCGCTCTTCACGTTCTCGGCACAGGCCTTGACGTACATGGGCATGGCCATGATGACCTCGAGCCAGGCCTGCACGGTGCCAGCCTTCCAGTGGGACATGGGCGTGGTCCTGACCAGCTCCACGTGCTGCAGTCGGTCCATCTGCTCCTCGCCCTCCGACAGGCTGAGGCTCTGCCGTGTGGGGCTGCACTGGCTGTCTGAGTCTGCAACACACAAGCAGGGCCGCCGCCTGGGTGGGTGGGTGGCTCACAGGGGAGAGGCAATCCCAGCCCTAGAGGTTGGGGAGGAAGGCAGGGATGTCTTCCTCATACACTTCTTTGCAAAATCAAAATGCAAAATGACTGGTTTTGCTGTCCCTCCTTCAATCAGAAGCATCATTCATTATCCCCTTAAAAAAAAAAAAGCGACATGTAATCCTGAAAGGAATAAAAATAAAGCAGAACGTGAAAATCACTCCAAATCCCACACTGTCCAGAAACAGCAGCTGTTGGTATTTAGCAAAATACTCTGTGATACACACCCGCTCCCGCTTACAAACACACAGACACCACGCATACAGTTTACCTAGCACACCCTCCCGCTTGCAGGTCAGGGTTTTGGCTGGGTACATAGACCTCTAGTCTAGCTTTCCCAAGGAGGCAAGGGTGCAGGTGGGCTAGGGGAGGGGCTAGAGAAGAGTTGGGCAGAGCCCAGTCTCAGTCACTCTTGTGACCAGGACTGTGTTTGGGCAGCACGGGGATGTTTTCTTGGGCTCAATGAAGCTCCACGAGTGACCTTCTCAGACAAAAAAAGTCCACTCACCACCATTTTCCAATACTGTTGATTCTTCCACCCATGACTGGTGGTACTACGGTCAGATTAAACAATGCTGGACAGACTAAGGCCCAACACTGCCTTGGATGGATGCTGACTCATCTCGGAGGAGCAGATGGTGGATTTGAACCACTGATCATAC